AGACACTTTAGAACATCAATTGTATTGAAACCAGGGTAGCAGGTTTCGTTAACACTTGTGACACTAGAAATCTTGGCTCTTGTGGAAGAATTTATGAAAGACTTGTTCAGTGTACACACATCAAATGAGTAGGGAATACTGATGTCATACTGGTTGTAATTAGATACATAAGGTTAATTTAATATCAACAAGGTAGATATGCAAATACTGCAGTTGTTGATCATAAAAATGTTGAGTATTAGATAACAACACATGATTCAACGGCGTATTGTTAATAAATAAAAATTGTCTCTCAGCTCGTCGCCAGGTAAACAGTCTAGTTGATGATGTCAATGCATATTAACAGAATAATGAAGTAGCTATCAACACTAAGTTACTACACTTACTTGAACTGCATACTTGGCGTTTAACAGTATACAGACTCGCAACTGGCTAAATAAGGTATCTTCAGAGTGTCGAACAGTGCAGAATTATTATTCAACTTGCTAGATCCCACTTAGTTTTCACAACGTGATATTGTACAGAAACAGAAGCGAAATCTTATGAATGACTAAAGTAACAGTCTCATATTACTATAGTAAATCTCAATTCCACTAACTAGGCCTAACACGCAGTAGACCGAATTCACATATTACAAAAGCACAAAGTATAGCGACTCATTGAGGAAGTCCAGAAGAAGTAGAAATTAAGAGTATATTAAACATTTCATTAATTTACAAAAGGAAATTTTGATGAGGAGTATTAGCATCAGTTTGACCGATTGACATTTCCGCTGATTTCATGTTCGACGAACTTCATATAACTAAAAAATAAAACACAACATGAAGTTATGAGAGATAATTTTATATGCTAATATGCGATACGAATACACTGAGTCTGTTAATACTAAACAAAATTCTCATACAAATAAAAGTATTTGTAGTCTATATCTGGTTTTTATATTGACGCTGTATGCATGAATAGACCACATGCGTTCCCAGTATTAGAGGATTATACGCGAATTTCAAGACAATCTGTGGAAAATCCATACTGTTAAGGTATTATTCTCTCATCAAGATTACTTGCAGATCAAATTCACAATAAATACACTTGCACTAAAAGAAGTATTTCAAATGCGTAACTTAGAAATTAATCCACAATCTCAGCAATGTCTAGTGAACATGGTTTCGTGAATCCCACCGAAATTACATTCCCATATTTAGGAAACTATAGCAATCAAGTATAAACTGAACATGTCTCAACTCTAAACAGCCATGCACAGTGTTGACAGCATAGAGAAACACTTAAAATATTCAAAGATACACAGACCCTTTATGTTGATGAGGATAACAACGCCATATAATACAACCTAGACATTCAGTCGTGATACTGCTTTATGTGAGTGTAAATTTCAGCAGAAATTCATCGCCACTGTTGGTGATCAAAATTATTGCAGCATTAAGTATACAGTGTCAGTGGGAATGGTATAACAGATAGCAGATTGATAATATTACAGTTGACTAGATTCAGTTCCCATAATCGACACAATACATGTGAATAATACTAGTATAAACTGAAACGATGAGTAAAATTAAAAGAGTAATCGCCTTCTCCACTGCACTGCACTTCCACTAATAATGAGAACCACCCACATTTGTAGGCCTAGCAGTGATCCTACAAGACAATTGCACAATATTAATAAATTTGAGATATTTTTATATATTTAATCCATTGCACCAGAGAGTATATATACAGTAAATCCACTTGGAGATAACCTCTCAACTTACGATAATTCCTGTCCAAACATGTGTACAGTAAGACACATCTACATGATAACTTCTGTTCCTACAGAAGGTTCTGTTAGCATTTATAGGTGATTTCCATGTACTTATAGCATTCCTTTTGTCAAATAGTACTGTTCTTCACACGAAAATAGGCCACAGGGATGTCCTGAGACGTGAAGTCTTCATTGAATGATACTATGCCGGAAGGTGCAGCCTCTACATATAGTAGATTATTTGTGTAGATCACATTACCCTCCAACTATCCAATCCTCCTCATTATAGCGATATTTTGACACAGTCCGCCTGAAACACTGATCATTGCAGCCAATATGCTAAGAGTGTGTCGCAGTCAGATTACATGACGCGGACACCACCATGACTAGTCAGCAAATGAGAATTCCTATCAATCTAGAAAACATAACGCAATTTTATTACAACTTATCGACAAAATAATTTACCATGAGGAATTTCAACCAAAGTGGCGGATAAGTTCGACTGAAACTGTAGATTTCTATCGAAAAACGCGTCTGCGAAAGCCGCTTCTCAAAGCTACTTCGTTGGGAAGAATCGTCATCTCACTTTGATAAGGTTATATAATGTGTGGTACACAGGCACCGAATTCATATATTTAGCGTATCTGATGCAACATCAAGCCAAACAAGTAATTTTAGCTATACAAATTTTAAAAGATGTCCTTCAGATATAAAAATTATACCTATCAGTGCTGCTTGAATTCTTCATGTACCTTTGTAATCGGGTATGTGGATTCAGGAGAATAAAGAGTGCAGATGAGGATGTGATACCTTATTAAAATTTGAAAAATTCAATTAACTGACTAGTGAACAGAGAATATTCTTTCCGACGACTTTGTGGCTTTCCTCAGTCACATGTCCATTAGATAGGGAATAGGGTGTTTATTTTAAATATACCAGGTGCAATGTTACGGGTGACAATAAACGTTATAGTGACATATTATCGCGGAATGTATGGGTTATCGTGTTCACGCCTATAGAGGCGTTATAAGCGTTTACTTTTGTGAAAGTGGATAATATATAACTGGTTTCAGGCTTCTATAACCGAAAAAGCAACATTTTCCAGTATTGTGTTCGTATTAATGGAAGAACCTGTCATGATATCCCAGAGTATGTACTACTTCAATACCTCATCGTATATAAGAAATTTAGCATAAAAAGACTATTCTTCGCGTTTTAGAGCCTTAATGGTCTATTATTTGCTAGGTTTTTGAGGAAATATAGGTTGAAAATTAGGTATATACAATGGTTGTTTTCATAGCAGTTATTCTATGATAACGAGACATTTGAAGGAGAACTAGCCCACAGACACAAGTGAAATATACGTTTTGAGGATACCAAACACTTTTTTAACATCATCCGTGATGATTGAAATATTCCATAACACATCGAAGAGAGTATGCGATGAATGATGCAATTTGCTGAATTTCCTGGTGATTTTATCCATTTCTGTGAAGTTCCTAGTTAAAATGGCTCAGTTGAAGATGTGATACTAGTTTAATTTACGTTGTCACATAGAATTTCGGGAGACCGTAATTGCTGAGTGCATTACATTGCATCAGATTATCTCGATATCATTGTGCATTTGTGCCAGAAGAATAGTATAGATGGTGCTTCTACAATGCCAGACTGCTTCAAATTGGAATCCTTTTTCTGTAGAATAGTAGCTCGCAGCTATGTCCTACAACTACTGAACGTGTTACTTAAGTTATATCAGTCTTAATAATTTTTCATGTTCAGATCACTAAGATATTCTGAGATGCTTAATGAATTACTTGTGACTATGAATGACATGGAAGGTGTACTTATGGCTCATGTTTCTAAAGCATTTATTATGAAAGAAGTTATCTGTATGGATTTTGTGATGTTCAGGTTACAATGCTTGTGTGTATGTAGTTACTGCATGCTATTGTACTTGAAGGGACAGTTGGTGAAAGTGAAGATATAATAAAGTTTTCTCTAAAGTCACTATGAATACTGCAAACTGTTGATAAGAAACTGCATCAAAGGAATAAGTACCGAATAGCTAGAAAACACTACTGCAGTTTCTCAGGATGCTGTTCTCCTCCTGGAATACCTTTTAATTGTGTGACGGAATAGCACTTACCGGTATATATGCAGTGTTCATTGTGAAGGGTCCGGAGTTTAACTTTTATGATAATCTGTTGTAATTGCTTGTACAATAATTGAACAATCGAAAATTTTGAAAAAGTTTTAAGTTACGATTCTTCACGATTGTAATTTATAACCTAAGTTATTGTACCTGTAGAGATGTCATGCATTCCTTGTAAACACCCATTTATACAGTATATTAAGTTATTATTTGCTTGGTGCTATACTTTAGAAGAGGAACAATGTATGTCACAGTGAAAACCGCAGAAGAATGCTGTCATGACCAAAGAATGAGAAAGGAGAATGAACCTTTTTCAGCAAAGGTAGGAGAATATAAAGCGTTTCACTTTTACATTACTTATTTCTAACTTCAACGATTTAAAAATTATACTTTATTCACTTACTTGTAGATGTTCGGTCAAGTCAGTCAACCAGGTCACAGCAATTACGCATCCCCGCAGTAATTACGAAAAACAATTGTGTGAAGACATTCGCTTAATATTTTTCATGAAATATATTTTACATCCTGCTTACCATACTTTTCTTATTCTATCTCAGTGAAACTGAATTTGTCATTATGACGGGATGTAGGCCTGAGAAACTAATTGTAGGCATAATTCAACGCAGGCGAAATCGTACTAACATTGCTACAGCCCAACCTATTAAATTATTCCTCTCGTGTAGACTTCAGTTTACACTGTATGTTTACACCCGTAGTCATATGGATTGACATCTTGCTTTAAGTGAAATAGTAGTAATACAGTACTTTTGATTACACTTAACTTCATACGAAATCGAAGTCAACTGCAGGGCTCTAAGTTCTATTCTTATTTGTCAAACACTGAAGTTAGGTATTTTTGTCATTAGTCCCTACAGATTTATCTATGACTAGGAGACCTAATCTCAGATTTTTTTCGACGTGACAGAAGTACTTATAATTCACGACTTATATCGATGGAAAGTGTTCCTACAGAATAGCACTTACGTATAGTAAGGAATTCATATCCTAGGGAGCACCGGTCTAGCATGCCGTACTCCCAACGCGAACACCCGAACAGAAAGACAACAATCTTAATACGAAAAGTTTATTCTTATTGTAATACGAAAGTAGTTAATTTACACATCAAGAACATTGTTGATTTGAGCGACTACTTCTCCAGCGAACTCTGCGGCAAACGTCCGTCCATATTTGTCACAAATTCTCGTCAGGCCCGCATTAATAAGCCTCCTATTGGTTACGTATAAGTCACATTGATTTCGCGGCACAATTGCTGACGTGCTTGGAATTGCGTGCGAGTGGCGAGACCATGTCCATCGTTTACACTTCTGCAGCACATGATTAACTACAAAACGTGGAACAGTAAACGGAAATAGAATTATGCACACAATATTAAAGGATAAATAATGACAGTGCTTACGTCCTGTTTTCAGTTAAGACAAACCCTTATGAAATATATATACATTTTAGTATCTACGAATTTCAGTCAGTTAGGAGTAGTTTAAAATGCATTAACTATGGAGACATAAAATAGGGAATACTTCAGGTGGCAACCTAGTATATCTTACGTGTAAATGAATATACAAATTTCAAAAAAGGGTATTTTACCTGTGAAAAACGCCGTTCTTAAATGCACCAACAGCAAGTGTCGACAGGGATACCGACAAGTCTGGAACGTCCTACAAGTACATGTGCATGCACGCAGATCCACCTCTACTTGTCTCCCATTGTCATCCAAGAAGATATAATCAAAAGCTTCAAACTGAAAAGAAGTCCATCGTCGCTTTGCATAATCAGCGATCACTTTCTTCGCAGTGTATGGCGTCAGCTGGCGTAAAATTGGTATTATGCGTTCGGAACATGAATACTTGAGGGAACGCGACTGAGCAATCATGGACTCCTGCTCTATTCTAGAATTACTTAGTTGAAACCATTTGTAAACCTTCAGCATGCTTTTATGCAGACCATCTGATCTAAGCAAGTACCGCTTCATCTGCTTGTGAGAACTTTCTACTCGATTGTTGGTATCATTACCCAAAGTCAGTACATGTTCCCTGAAAGCTGCTGCCCACAAGTGTCGTCGACTCATCCAACGACGTTGTAAATACTGACTAACACCAACATCCAATCTGCTTATAACTCTGAAATAGAAGTTAAATCTGGAAAAATGAAAATATTAAAGGCATTACTCAGATCTCCTTGTACACTGAATTAAGCGACATAAGTAGTTCTTAACAATGGGATTCCGCGTCTAAAATTGAAATTTTAATTATGCTTTTAAATAATTTACTTTACGACAAAATGCACGACAAACATGAAAAGAACAAAGAACAATGTGCGCTTCTCTGTGTGTTAACTTCACTGCTCCTATTTCGGCTTGCGCACAATCCATAATGAATGTTTCTGTTTTAGAGGTGTCTTCCATTATTCCTCGAAACGAGTCCAAAATCCAAACAACATCACGCTTGAATTCCTTTCGCGTCCAAGCAAATAGAACCGGTCTCCCACGACCAAAATTGTCCGTCACAACTAATTGAAACAAAGAATACCTGCATGTTGATTAATTAATTAATTAATAAACTTACTTCCCTTTATTTGCGTTATATGTAGAATCGATGCCAACAACCTCCGGAAACTGTTTATACAAATCTATTTGCTCATAAGTAGAAAAACAGACTCTCATTAGTGAATTCCTTATCGGTTCATCTGAATAATACTCCAATAACTTCCCACGGGACTTAAGGAATTCAAAAATGTCATAACGGCTCGATATACCTGAAGTAATTTACATTTACATTAACGTTACCTTTATTAACTGAAGCTTTCAGATTTCTAACGTCATTAAGAGTTATGTCCTTGTGGAATGTTTCCTTAACATGCATAATTATTTCATCTGATGAGTGTGATTGGTGAAGAAGTGGTTCTACATTTTCTTTCTCTTCCGCTGACAGTCGTCTAGACCATGGATCATTCTGCATATACACCCTGGTGCATGGATGGTTGTGGACCATTTTGTGGGATGTTATCACGTATTCACTATAACGCAAAATTACGCGAAATGCAGACAGACAGTTGCAACATTTAGACCTTAAACACACATAATATCATAATACACTTCCTCTTACGACTTGCGTCGGTGGCACAGTGGTTAGGACTCTCGCCGACCATGCACATGGTCCGGGGTTCGATCCCCTGCCGGCGCACACCCGATATCTATGGTATGCCTGAATTTGGGCAACCGATATCCATGCTGAAAATTCCACACTTGTACTGAAAATACGGTGTGGAATCAAGCTGTAAATCAAAAATCAAAAATAAAATTTCAGTCCAGCTTTTCTACGGTTCACGCCAAAAGTGCATTTAAAATAAACGTAAGCGTACTTATATCTGTCGTCCCCTGTTGTTTTGCTTTGAATGTGCACATAGTGAGTGCAGGACAACTACATTGTTAGCATTAAATGACTTCCTCACTTGTTGAAATTCTCCTAAGGAATTCTCAAATTCCTCCCAACTAAAGAAACGCCTTCCCAGCATAATTTCATCGAAAATTCCACTGACGTCAGCAGTACTTTCGCCCGCATTGCCTACCTGCGATAAACTAAAAAGGCGTTGTCAATTAGCATCCATCTTTGTCGCAATATCCATCAGTAAAATGCGACATGTATAACCTAAAATCGAGAAAAGCTCTAGAACTCACGGATTCCTTGACATCGCCAGCAACCGATAGGCCAACAAACCGAGTGTATGATAAACCAAGCCTGGTACATGCACAAAATAAGTAAAAGAAAACGTTAGAATAATACAATTTTACATTAATATTCATCAAACATGCTTGCAAACAACGCATGCCGCAACCACGCAAACCTGCACACGACATGACCTACCGAGGACAAATTTAATATCAAACTGGGCGCCACTGTTCTAGCCAATCAAAGCTGAGAAAGCCCTTAGGCGCGTAAGATTTAACACTCTATGACGTATATTATCACCCCAATGTTACAGAATCTGAGTTACAACAAAACTTAGAATTTCTTAGTGTCTCTCGTCTTACAACATGTATTACGTTTTAGATCATGACAAGCAATAATTGTAAGGTACTTATGATTCATCTCATACATAGATGCCTTTCTAATTATTTTTTGAGTTGCAGAGTAGTCTGAATCCTGCTCGACTTTCCTCAAAGTCTTCGGGATCATTGAATAGCCCTATGTTGAACTGAACAAAGAATGAGTAAAACATGTAATGCTTAAGACCATGAACTTGCGTTTATTCCAAGGCTTGCCAGAGGTTTTGAACAGCACATATCGACCTGTTTCCTGAGTGTGAGCTTTGGATACATACCGAGATGATCTCTCTGCAAATATCTGGTAGAGGAGTGACGGTGGAAGAAAAACGTTTGTATCTTAGGTTATTAATACTATAAAACAGTGGAGCGTTTTACTAATTTGCAGATATCTGGTCTGTTAAGGATTAATGTGCTGCGAAAAGTGTTAAAATTACATTTATCAAAGACTTAATGGGGAAATAGCCATCAGCAAATCCTTTTCAGAATAGATACGCTCCTCTCAACAGATACAAAAAGGCTTAGTTTACGCTCTTGTTACAACATTATAACTATAGTATAAGTCACAAAAACAAGAAGCTCTACAGTCGTATACCAGCGAGTGAGCAGAAAAAACAGAGGACACACAAGACTTCAAATAAGCATTAAGAAGACCAAGGTGATAAAGAAAGCTAACCAATACCACCAAACACCAATCACTGACAACGGGAGAAGACCGAAGGAAGTCAGCTCTTTCACTTATTCAGTCAGTATCGGTTCAACTACGGGTGGCATAAATCAGGATGCGGAAGGCAAGATCAGAAAAGCAAGACAGACCTTCGTCAGTATGTAATCAGTGCAGAAATCTGATACAGTCAGCATAAAGAACGAGATTCGGATTTTCAACACTAATTTTCATCCATTTCTTTTACATGGGTCTGAGAATTTGCGCGTCACGAAACACATTTCCAGCAGCCTACTTCAGAATTTCATCAATAGCTGTCTTCGCTTCAGAATGAAGATCAGGTGGCTGGAAGGATAAGCAACAGAGAACCTTAGTAGCAGACTCATCGTGAAACTAATATCCAACAAATATGGCTAGGAAAGTGAAGATGGATCGGACGCACACTGAAGAGACCACTGAGTGCAATCATTTGTGTTGTCCTCGAGTGAAACCCGAATGGGAGACGACTAGCTGGGAGTCCGAGAGTGACTTGAGGGTAAACATGTGAGGAGATAAAGGATTATAGGCAGTTGTGGATCCATTTGGAGACGACTACAGAGAATTGGACTAAGTGAGGATGTGCTGTTGAAGCCCTATGTTCGACTCGGAAGCCCAGGAAATTACAAAAGTATTAATTCAACGGTAACAATTCCTAACCTATTGAAATTCATCATGTGGTTTCTTGAAAATTTCGCATTGCACGACATTCTTTGTGGTGGATGGTTTAGTCAATCCTTAGATATTTGTATCGAAATACGATACTATCACATCTGCAGCCACCACTAATAATGTCTTTTAAAGCACAAGCTCTTCTGAGTTTTGGCGGCTAAATTCTGGCTAGCCACATGAAAATAATCTTTCAAATCTAAAAAATTGAAACCGAAATTATATACACTTCTTTATTTCCTCAATCGAATTATTGGACTTAAGGTCAACTGTTGTTTTATACAATCGCTTGTCAGAGGTCATACCTTGTGGGGCTGATTACAGTGGTAGATATGGAGAACAGATTTAAAGAGTTGCAATGTGCCTATATCAGGTCGTTGATTAATCTGCGAACTTCATTATCTAAAGAAGTGTCTACCTCTGTTTCTAGTAAGATTTACTTGTGGTGATATCTAGTCCTTATAGGAATCAGAAGACAATTTCAACGAGCTCAAAATGGTTAGTAATGGAGTACTTTTTTGATTATCCTCTAGGTGTTGACAGCGAAGTCCGTCGCTTGCAGGACGAGAACGAATCTTTAAGAAGGTAGACTCCTCAATACACTTATGTTCTTAGATCGTTAAAGCATATGGAGGATGTCATGAAAGGCAAAGAAATGGAGATATGCGGTTTGCGTAAGTCAAGCTTAAAAATACTAAGTCTCTTAGGTCGCCAAGTACAAAGCTTTTCTTCTGGGGGAGCTATGTGCACTGTATGCTCCCGAACAGCCAATGTCACAGCTGACTTGTTGGGTGCTGAGAGATGCAAAACAAAGTCCATCTTAAATCATAAACGTCCTCATTTGAATGTAAGCTGTTTTGTCCAAATTAGTTAATGTAGTACCTATTCCCGTTTATATGGCTATCTCCCTCTGTAAGTCTATACATATATGTGTGAATCGGACAGAAGTTCTGTGCCACTCAAATACATCAATACGACTGCGGTAGTATTGAGTAGTGCAGATTTATAGTAACAGCCGACGGTAATGTGAATCCCGTTCACATCCTTCCTTGTGCAGTGCCTGTTACACTCATATGACTAATTCTGTAGATCACCTGTGATAATCAGAAGTCGTTTCCATTATGAAACTAAGAAAAACAATGTTTCAGAAATCAGTAAAGTGAATATCAAAATTAAGATGTAAGACCACTGTACAAAATCGATGAAATTTTCTCACCTTGAATAAGACTTAACGGAAATGCACAAAATGATTGCAATTATAATTAGTTGGAGTGGACGTCATGGATATAGGTAGAAGGGTAGCGGAGAAAACTGCAACTAATGCCCAACTCGTATGCTTCTACTAAAATTGCAATAATTTTGTCTGATAATCCTGACCCAACTTTCAAAAAATTGTTCTTAAAATGAACCTGCAGGCCTTGCTGCACTTAATTTTCAATGCAATGCCAGACTTCTCCAAGACCAATAACTGTTGTGTCTCACCACTGATCGTTTCTTCAAATCCAGTATTAATATTCATTTTATCAAAATAAGCCCATTCGAACTACTCATCTGTTTTTCTTTTGTGTGCACTTGGGTGAGAATAAACGATCGTAGTAACTAGTGCATGAGAACTGCCTACGTATGCCCTAGGAAAGTATGTAGTTGTTTTCATACCAGTTGTGATCTGGCAAGTTGCATATTTTGAAAATTATGGCTGAACTGTGCTCGTAAATTTTTCCTTGATATTTGAAAGACTTCAGCATCAGATGGTGCATCCGTTTCGACCTCGAGCAGCAGTATCAAGCAACCAATCAAGAAACGCCCATGTGTCCAAGACACTATGACGGAGAGTATCCTGGACAATCATGTCAACACAACACCTACTGGTAAGTACTTTACTCATACGCATTATTGTTTACTGTATCAGATATTCATTCAAACAGAAACTGCATTACGCTCTACATCACTGACTTTCGATAACTACTTCCTCGGCAGTTTTCTGTGGTTTTCCACCTTTCTCGCAGTTGGATAACAAGACTGAAATAACTAGTCTGGTGAGAGCTTTCTAAACTAATTTAATGTGATCGCATGCAGGTGATTAGTTCCTGCAAGCCCTGATATTTGCTAAATAAACAAAGCCTACGACTTAACATTACAGAATGTCGTGGTGTTCAGTTTCATTTCTATCAGAACCAGCAGAATTAAGACCAGTTGACTCATCAGCGCGAATCCATGCACAAAATCGCACACTCTAGAAAAGTACACATGAAACTAAGGAAAAAATGTATTTCACCTAACTTTGTCAGGAAAGTTAGTGACTCAAGCTCTTTGACTTCATTGGAGGACTTTCCCTTCTTACCTAACACTACGCGTAGCCTCATTATGACTAACCATGGTGCTCCGCTCAAGATGATTGTGAATGTGGTCCTCATGTTAATAACTGCTTGTCATTTCTTACCTCCCGCTTTCAGCGACATCTCAGCTAATGGATGACTGGATATCACGCCTACACCAGTATATATATATATATACGACTTGGGCTGTACTAGGAGGAAACTTAGACGGGGTTTTGATGGCGGGCAGTTGTAGTACAGCTGCTTATTAATTGTCTGTATTCTGTACGATGTTCCAGCTTTCTCATCTTACGTATTAGTTCTCCATCGTCCTCTAATCTCACTCAACTTCCCATAAATGAAGAAAGGAAATATTACCCACCCAACTTCCACTTGCGTTTCCATGCAGTTGGCATACCCCTATTGTTTGACGACTAATCATACTACCTTCCTGCTCAAGCCTCTCTGTGGGCTGCAGGATTCAAATTCGCGACTTAGTGGTTGCTAGTCGGGCGCCTAAAACAGTAAACAACAGCTTAACTGACTATAGGTATTTTAGTGCCCATTTCCCTAAATGAGCTTAGACGGTTAACAGGTATTACCTATTGCTGATGCCTACACTTTCCTCATCCACTTGTACCAGAAGTCGTTACGAAAACTATTCGTAAGGTTTCATTTGATAAGCTCTCGACGCTCTTCAACGTCAGGAGCCTACAGGAACCAGTCAGTCCGGACAAAGCTTCAGATACTTAGTGACATTCTCTAACTTTTGCCTACAGCTTACCAGCAGCCTTTAACATTCTCTGAAGTAATCTAGGTATGATATCCGGATTCCTAAGGCGCGTAAAAGTCTCTCAACTGCTTGTTTTCCGTGTCCGTTCATCCACCGACATATATGTACACGAATGAACAAATGATTGAGGTTCAAGTTTATGTTTTAGAATGAACGGCAATCCTCTTCACCTACAGATGGTTTACTTCTTACCGTCGTTAGCCTAATATGGGTGGTCGCCAGATAAAATACTGTCTATGTGCGTGAAATTATTGCTGACCAGTGATAAGTAGTCATCTGAATAAATTTGAAAAAGACGGTTACCATTGTTTATTCCTCAGTACAAGCCGTAACAGATGCTCCAGTATACTTTATGAGGAGTTTCAAATTTCCTTCTTCAGTGTTTCGGCTTTGGCAACAAAGTAGGCAGCTTCTGATAAAACTCATCGTTCCCTTCCGAAACTGCTGTTAGTTCGTGGAAAGATGTCCATGGAAAGCACTATCTTATCAGTATAGATTCATTAAGCCAGACAACATGCACACAGCTATCCAGTGGGATGCAGTCGAGTAGGGAGTTTTCAGCTTGCGATTGCAATACTATCACAGTAGCAGCAAGTCTACGAGGACTAAGTAGAGAATCAACTAATCCCCATAAGATATCATGAAGATTAAATTAGGTTGCAAATAGAAATCTTGTTCACTTATGTTGTTACTTCCTAGCTGCTGACACAGCAGGTTATATTAGTCAGATTTTCGCCCTTCGGCAGATTGTGGAACATGAGCCATATTTCTTGACCCGAAGGCTGAATTTGATTCCGTCAGTCGAGCGGTATTATGACAGCGTTTGCCGGTGAAGGGATTGCGGAGGAAGTACATCATACTGACCAAAGTACTCTGCTCACACTCATGCAGCTGTGTAAGGGTTCATGGAGAGTTTTCATCTGAAGTGAAGACAACCAGTGGTGCCCGTGACAGATGATCACTGTCGCCATTCCTATTCAAAATTCATCATAGATGTACTAACAGAGTCATGGTCGGATGCATTCACTCTTTGTGATTTATCACATCTTCCATATTACTCCTCTTTTCCCCTCACACTTCTCTTTACTGTCTTCTCTTGCATTGTGTGCTACATGGAGTGTGGCAACTCGAACTGCTGCACATCTGTGCAAAGTTCTACGTTGAAGTCAGTGAGTATCTGTCATGGATATTACTTTAACCAACAGAGACAATCTAGGTTTGATCACAGGTAATATTATGGTATCCATAAAATATCGTATCGATTTAGTCCCCTAAATTGACAAGATGGCGTTTTTCCATTTCTGAACTAAACAGGATTCTCATTGCCTTGAAACTTACTTTCAAACGAGATTTTAATGACCTGGGAATTTATATTTCTTCTTGATTTTAAGTCGTTTGGAAAATGATTTTAGCACTTCATATGAACTGCTTTTACATAGTGGTTTGCAATGCGTATTTTCTTCTCAAGTTTGAGTTTGTTATTGTACATCGAAAGTGTATGGTTTTCCGATCAGAGGTAAAGACGATTTTTTCCTTGTAGGCACTCGCAAATCCCCATCTGGAGAAGCTGATCAAAGTCAGCATGATGAAACATCTAACACCGAATCAACAACACTAACGAATAGTGTGTTTCCCGTAGGCTCACTCAGTCCACCTTCAGAAATATACGATGCATCCTTAGCGATTAAAAATGCCGTAAACCACAATGATTTGGCAGATTACGATGCTACATGTCGAGATTCTTCTATGCAAGACCAACCACATTTGCCAAAATAGCTGAATCCGTAAGTTTTATATTGCACGAAGCATTTTTCTTTGGTTAAATAGGATGTCTGAATTGTAAAAGTTTGAGGTTTGAGAATCAAACAAGATATGGCTATTGCGATTACTAGTTTGTAAGGTAGTGCAGATGTTAATATAGTTGTTCCCAACTGAGACTTCAGTAAATCTGCACTCATCGAGGACAATCTAGAATCTGTGTTCAGCGGACAATGTATGTAGACGAAAAAAACATTTACTCATCAACACTTATACAACTAATCCTACCTTCTAACAACATGGATTGTAGTTGTATATCTTGATTTATTGCACCATACGATTTTGAATGAATGTTGTTTGTTTGCCTGAATACGTGTATTTAATTGGGAGGTAATGATGTTTGGAAAGTGTTTGATTTAATTGTCGTTATGAAATTTCACATTGAAAGGAATAATTAAATTTCAGGGAATGCCAGAGGAAGAACGTGAAATTATATGAATACATTAATTGGCTATTTGGATGTAACCAATGTTATTTGTCTAATACTTTGTGTTGGTGCTGACTGAATTCTCTCAGTCGGGTTTGCAGTATGGTCACCAAGCTGGGTGACCTGCAATTACCTTGCACTTCTAGTTGATATCAGTTGACTTGTGTCGCTGAACTGTGTGCCTTTCTTGTGCGAGGTGTATTTTCTACCAAAATTTTATGTAAGGAAATTT